GGGGGGGGGGGGGGGGGCGGCGATACGGTAGACGAACGCTTAGCCATGATCACGACTGCCCTCCTCTTCGCTAAAGCTCCGTGAGCATGGCGTGGTGCTTCTGCGACGTGCGCATCTCGAGACTTTTGTGCGCGAGAAGCGATCTTCTTGCCTATCGGGGGGTCTGATCCTTGAAATGTATGCTCCTTTGCTCCCTTCTTTTTCCGCTCATACTTGCGGCACCGTGAGCTGAGCGAGGGATTGGCCGTGCAGCAGAATCATCGTGACGATCTGTTGTCTGTTCGGCGTTGCGCGGTCGTGCAGCGCACCGCACCGTGCGACTGAAGCAGCTCTCTCTCTGCCCTTCCTCGCAGCTTGGCTTGCTGGCTCACCATGTCTGCCGAGTCAAGTGCCAACGCCTCATACCACCACACCTCGCCTGCCTCGACTTGCGTCGAGTGGGTTCCGCGCGCCGGAAGGCAGTACTATACTTACTCGTTCGTGACTTGAGTACCTCTGGAAACATGAAACGAGACGCGTGACAAAGTCTGTCTGGGACAGACTTCACAATCTTGAATTCATTCGCGAATTCGCGATCGATGCGCTTCATGCATCTCGGCAAACGCACAGTCATCAGGGCCGCATGTCGTGTGGCTTTGCTTTAGCGTCGCAATCACGCGAATGATCCAGCTGATGAGCGAGCGTGTTGCAGTTTCCTCCATTTTGGGGGCCTGGGGCTGAGCTGGCCTGAGATGCTGCTTGTGCTGTGCGCTGCTTGCCCTTTTGCATGGCAGGCATTTCGACTTCTGAGCGGCGAGCATCCACCACCACCAATAATGAGGCTTTTCGCAAGTCTTGGCTTGCTTTGCCTTTCTTCGATGCCATGCCATGCCATGCCATGCCATGCCATGCCATGCCCGCCCCGGCCCAGCCCTGTCACCGATGGCAGGCAAAGTCGCTTGGAGCGATGGGGCGCTATACAGAGTCAGGGAGTTGTTGTGCGTGGATCCGGATGAGGATGAGGATGAGCTTTGATTCTGATTCAGATTCAGATTCAGATTCAGATTCGTGATTTTGCCCAATTCAAGCTATAAGTGCCAAGGACTCGGCGGGACAGGCGTACTCACTGCTTCGAACTCAGATGCACTGCGCTCACCACTCACGACTCGGCTGCATGGTGGGACGCCGCGTGTGGGATGAATACACGATTCACATTCATCAAGATTCGTCATTCCGATTCTGCTTCCGCTTCCGCTTCCAGCGGTCAAGAGCGGCCGAAATCGTGGATGTGAATGTGAATGTGAATCGTGAATCGTGAATGTGTCGCGACGCCCGCCTATACGGTAGGCTGCTTGCTGTGCGCTGTGTGTGTGCGCAACTACCACCCGACACTGACTCACGGGCATCCAACGATGCGTGATGATCCGTGATACGTGATTATTATCATCGGATATGTTTACCCGAAGCAGCGCGGGTCCTTTTCATGAACCCGCAACGAACAAGCCTCTGCTGCTGAGTTGCTTGGTCCAAGCGCCGGTCGAGTGTGCGCGCGCGCATGCACACACGCACACGAACCCACACACACACACCCAAAACTGCCATCACAGACGTCCCTCGTGCGATGAGTGCAGTGCGTTGCTGATGAGCAGTCACGAGTCGCTCGAGGCCTTCATTTGCCGTTTGTGACTCGCCATCAACCTTGAAATCCCCAGACAGCCCACCTTGATCAATCAATCGCCACTCGTCATTGCTGGACAGTTGCGACTTGCTCCATCAACTTTTCACCATTCCCTCTTTCCCGCGCACATTTCCCTCGAAGCTCTAGCAACACACATTCTCACACGCAGCCGCAGCATACACAATGACGGCCGCCTCTGCTAGCTCCTCTTCCACCAACATCCACACTTCTCCCCATCCACCGCTCCATCTGCCCCGGGTGACGCTGCCAACGTTTCTCTTTGCTCCGCTACACTCGACCTCCACATCTGCATTCACCACCCCATCCTCCCCGCGTCTCAACAAACCCATCCTGCATCCACCTCCCTCCGAGTCCACCGTATCCACTCGATCTCGAGCGACGCCTCTATCGCTCGCGCAGGTACGGGACCAAGCTTATGCGCTCGCTGCTGGATTGCTGGATGACAAAGTTGCCCAGTCGTTTGGCTTAAAGGAAGGATTGAGCAAGGGCGATACCGTCGCATTGTTCAGCGCAAATCAGGTCAGTCCTTGATGAACCGCGCATGTAGACTCGTAGCCGCAGATGCAAGTCTGACACGCCATCTCGCCCCAAATCCTCCCCCCCCCC